GAGTAAATCTACAGACTGCAACTCTTCTTGACTGGATACTTGTGACTAACCAGAAAGGATAGTTACATCTGGAGTTATGTCTGATTGTCTTAGAGACCACTCAATAATTTTTTGTGTATGGAAAATTAGAATGTTAAAATCCACGCCTAAATATATTACTTTCAGACAGTGCAAATATTTAAATGTTGACCACTTCAACTATGATATAAATAACATTGAATGGAACAGACTCTCACTCATACCAACAGTAAATGAAGCGTGGGACTTCTTCCACACAGAGGTCATGGAAGTGATTAATAAACATGCTCCATATAAAACTATTAGAGTGAAAGGAAATCGGAGTGCCTGGATCAGTTCTGAACTTATCTCCCTTTATAAACAGAGAGATGCTGCATGGGCTAAATATCGTACCAGTAAAGATCCAAGAGACTGGGAAACTTATAAACAGCTGCGTAATACAAGTACAACTAGGACAAGGAATGCAAGGTCAGATTACTATAAAAATTGCACAACTAAATGTTTTAATAACCCAAAACAATTCTGGGACCAAATCAACACTATTCTAAATAAAAAGAACAAACAGCAAATAAAGCAATTGCAAGTCAATAATAACATCATAACAGACCCGGAGGACATTGCAAACAACTTAAATGAATACTTCTCTTCAATTTCTCAGGCAAATACCACCCCTTATTCAGAAGCAACATTTCTGAATTCTAAACCACAACATTTATTCTCATTTAAAGTTATCACACCATGGGACGTACTACAAACAATTACAAAGTTAAATTTAACTGCTAGTACTGGACCAGATGGCATTGAATCTAAATTTATAAAACATGCATCTCACATCTTGATGTTCCCCCTGGCTGAATTATATAATCTATCAATTTCCACAAACTCACTTCCTCCTCTATGGAAACTAGCAAGAGTAACACCTGTTTTCAAAGGAGGAGAACCAAATGATTTGAATAACTACAGGCCTATTTCTATCATTTCTACAATACAAAAAATATTTGAGAAGATTATTTTTAATCAGTTGAGTAAATATATTGAAGAAAATGGTATACTAACATCATCACAATCTGGATTCAGGCCTAATCATTCAACAACTACAGCACAATTAAAATTTACAAATGATGTTTTTACAGCTTTTGATCATGGGAAACCTACTGGTGCCATTTTCATTGATTTCTCTAAAGCATTTGACACCGTGGACCACTATTTATTATTAGATAAGCTTTACTCAGTGGGATTAGACAGAAATGCACTATTATGGTTTAACTCATATCTACATAGAAGACAGCAATATGTGGCAATACAAAACACTGAATCAAGTTGCACATTCATGGAAAAAGGAGTGCCCCAAGGCTCATCACTGGGTCCACTCCTTTTCTCGTTATATATTAACGAATTGCCCAAAGTGTGCTCTTCCTCAAACGTTCATCTATATGCTGATGATACAGTCATTTATACATCTCAAGACAGCGTCACTCAGATACAAAATATCTTGCAGCTAGAGTTTAATCGTGTTCAAAAATGGCTCAGAGAACATAATCTCATTCTTAATGTGAAAAAATCGTGCACAATGTTGTTCAAGACAAGGTATCAAAAAACCCACCCACCTACTCTCCATGTTCAGATAACTCCTGATAGAGCTTTAACAAATGTAGACACTTTTAGGTATTTGGGCTTGTGGATTGACCCTGAGCTGACATTTAAGCCACACATTGATTACATTGGAAAAAAAATTAAGCAATGCTTGGGTCAATTATATCGTTCAATAGAATGTTTTACATTTGAAACCAGAAAACGTATCGCTCAACAACTACTTTTGCCAATAATGGACTACTCTGACATTGTTTTCCACAGTTCTAACATAACCACCCTAAAACCTCTGGATTTACTTTATAATGTAGTCTGTAGATTTGTTTTAAGATGTCCTTTCACGACACACCACTGTATTCTTTATGACCAACTGAACTGGCTGCAGGCAAAGGAAAGGAGACTTTACCATTGGTACATTTTTATCTTTAAATGTGTCAATGGTGCTAGTCAATGCCCCCCCTATCTCCAAAAACATCTGGTGAGAGCTACCTCTTCATATGCACTGAGACATCTACAGCATGTCACTCTCATTACTCCCAGAGTACATAAGGAGATTGGGAGACACGCTTTCTGCTACAGAGCCCCTGAGGACTGGAACAATCTCCCAGTTTCGATAAAAACTATTTCCTCACTTACCAGTGTTAAAACTGCTTTAGCTACACACCTTAAGTCGGCATGTGACTGCTTTAAGTAGCGTTCAAGGCATAAATAAATAAAAGTAATAGCTGTACCCAAAGTTACCTAAGGAGTGGATGTGTACAAGGTTTTGAGATGGGCATGGTGTGGAAGAGCAAAATCTTTTTCTTTTTATTTATTTATTTTGTATTATTATTTATTTTTTATTATTGTTATTGTTATTATTATTATTATTATTATTATTTATTTATTTATTTTTTCT